CTGTGAATTGATTAAGAATATTTGTGTCTGGGTATATTACATGTTTGTGCAGAAATTTTGTTCTTGTGTGTCTATAGATAACTGTAATTCTGGGATCATTCCAGTGGCTGTCTCCTCTGGTATATCCATAAGGTAACTCTTATTATGTACCAGAATCAATCAATAAACACTTCAGGATCTGTTACTCAGCATGATGGGCTCCAAAACCTGAGTTATTACACTAACAGAGAGCATCCATTTCTTTCTTTTTTTTTTAAAAAAAAAATATATATATTTTCCTTTAAATTTTTTTAATAATTTTTATTTTTTTAATTTATTTTTATTTTTTTCTTATATAGTTTATGAGAGCATCCATTTCTTAGGGATAGAAGGGAATTAGCAAAGACCATGAAATTAATAAGTAAAAATAGAACATCATTAGTTTAAAATTATAAGTTGTAAATTATGGAAGAACTGAAATATTAGAATATGTACAACTAGAGGGGGTCTCTCCTGGTAATCAGGTTACATGGGAAGTATTCACTGATTGAAAGAAGATTTATAAAATTGAACTGCAAAATACTGTCATAGTGAGTACAAGTTCTTATGATCAACATTCTTTTCCTGTAGTAGGATCCATATAGGAAAGTGAACTATAACCAAGAAATCACTGGTTGAGTTTAGAAATTTTGGCATGAAAATAATTATTTTTTTCTTAAGTTTATTTACTGTGAGAGAGAATGAGCAGGAGAGGGGCAGGGGCAGAGAGAGAAGGAGACAGAGGATCCCAGGAAGGGGCTACACTGCCAGCATGAAGCCTCACAGAGGTCCAGAGGCTTACCTGACTGAGCCAGCCAGGTGCCCCATAAATGAAAATAATTCTTAATTTCTTAATGGTTCTACGCTCAAATAGCCTGATGGGCCCACCTCTCAACTGTACCTGAACTTCAAAGTCCATTAATCAAAATCTCTAGCTAATCCACATCAGAGGAGTCTAGGCCTGTGACATGGGAAATGTATTTGGAGATGGCTGAGGTTTTCTCTCTCCTAGATGGTGCTAATATTTGTCTTTATATTAAATTTACTTGGTCGGCACATTTTTCTTTAGCAAGAAAAAATACTCTGGTAACAGTAGAACATTCCAGGCTAGACAGTTATTCTAGTTATCTTTGCTGTGATCTATTCTAGTTTAACTCTGAAGGGTACTCTGTTGCAGCTCCTTTGCACCCCCAATACTGGTAAAACTTATTGGGGAATCTTGATATTATTTTGACATATGGGAAGAAAACTTTTAAAATATATTGATTAAAATCCGGCTTATATTTTCATTTTCAACTCAAGTGTATTTGCTTATATTTAAGAGACATACGTATGTCTCAATATACGAGTGCCTTTATTGTAGGAAACAGTAAACTCATTCAGCATTCTCAGAAATAAAGGACTGGGGTATTACTTAAGCTTATAATGGCTATCATTCAAATCCACTATAATTAAATTTCATATCTTTCCTGCAGCTAATATCTACTTTGATTCCATCAAGGTTTTCTCATTCTCATTCTGACCTAAAAACGAGTGCCATCTGCCAAATTAGTAGCATGCCTCACTGCACCTGGACCTCTCTTAATTTTAACACAAGCTTTACCCGAACATGCAATTTTGGGATGGAGAATTCATGGGAAACAGGTCACTCCTCCTCACTCTGTTCTGAGAGGCAAACATCACTAACTAATGATAGCAGTTTTCCCTTGGGCGAGACTTGGGCTGAGTCTAGAAGTGGGCTTCTCAACCAGAAATCTCCAGGGAACTATAACTGCTTCCAAAAATTGGAGTTGGCATGCCAGATGAAAATTAATTTGGATTCTTTCCCTATCTTATGGTATCTGACAAAGATCTGCCATTTATTTTGGATCCTAGCATTTATCTGAAAGTAACTGTCTGCTGTAAGTTTTTTTTGAATCAAAAAGCACAAGTTTTGTGGGAAAGAATTTTCTCCCCTTTATCCCCCATGGATCTTCTCATCAAGAATAACAAAACGGCCAAATATTATTGATAAAGGTCTGAAAAGTACAAGATTTGCTCAACATTTAAAGCATTTGCTCAGCTAATTTAGCTCAAATTATTATCCAAGATTCACACAAGCTTTACTACAAGATTTTTATTTAATTAAGAAATAATTTGCTTTTGAAATAGTGAAAAACATTTCTTATAAATCTATCATACTTGAATGATTGGATTTTGAATTTCTACCACGGTAAATGAAACGAATTTCATCTAAAGAGTTCTGAAAATATAATACTACTAGGAATTTCTTAGGCATCAAAGCAACTATTGGTTACAAGAATCAGATAGATGATTATCTGTTCATAGTCCTATTGCTCTATGATGAAAGGAAATGTAAAACATCAGAATTGTATACTTTTATAGATTAAAGGACACTAAAATTATTAGTGAAAATGTTAACATATTAAGAATATTTTAACTTAGTCTTCAGTTGATAATTAAGTATTGGTTTAACTCTTTTACCTGTGTATTACTGGCTAAACTGACCAAAAAAAAAAGAGAAAGAAAGAGAAGAAGAAAGCCATAAGACATTATTCTAAAGATACTTCATTTGTAAAGAATAGATATGTTAGAAAAATCAGATTTTTTTTCTGATGTATAAGTCAGAATTATTTATATTTTGGAGTATGAAGATTAATAAACTTCCAAAAGATGAGATGCCATATGACCCCAAACTATATTGATTTTTGGCTACACATGTGGATTTTGTGCAAAGATGGGTTATCCTTATTCCTCATCTCATTTTCTAGAAGCCGAGAAATAAATACAGTCATTACATACAAGAAGATGAAAAATACCTGCAATTTTATGTGTAAGATCTATAAAATTAGGGTCCAGAGTGGGGCCTTTCAAATTTTATTCTCTTTATTTCTACATTTTTCAATTTTTATGCTGATAGACATTGTTTCATATTTGGAAGATAATACTTTTTCATCTTGAGTATTGCTAATGCCAGGAGCAAACCCATACATCTATCTGATTAATAAACCCAATTTTATTTTTTATGTTAGTGATTTTCAGAAGGGAAATAAAATTCCTTCTTTTCCTTGTACACCTTATTTCAATTGGTTCATCTTTCTCTACACACTTTATAATACTTGCCTCAAGCATATATATGTGCAAATGATTCATTGTGGAGCTGGCACACAAGTTAAGAAGTGAAGGAGGAAGAGCAGAAGCCAATTAAACAGGCTGCTCTGCCCAGCATGAGACCTAGCAAGACAAGATCTCACATAAATGCATCCAAAATGACCATATTTCCTTATCTAATTCCTCTTCATTTTGCTTGTACCTTTACCTCATTTTTAAAAATATGTTTTTAAATTATTTTTTTTAGTGTCTATTTTTGAGAGAGACAGAGACAGAGCCCAAGCAGGGGAGGGGCAGTGAGAGAGGGAGACACCGAATCCGAAGCAGGCTCCAGGCTCCCAGCTGTCATCACAGAGCCTGATGCGGGACTCAAACCCACTAACTGTGAGATCATGACCCGAGCCAAAGTCACATGCTTAACCACCACCAAAGTGCCCCTTTAAAATTTATTTTTAAGTAATCTTTCACACAATGTTAGGCTCAAACTTACAACCCCAAGATCAAGAGTTGCACACTCTACTGACTCAGCCAGCCAGGTGCCCCACTTATACCTTTACTTTAAATAGGAAGGGGAAAAAAGAATAATAGAGTTAATGGTCACCTAAATGAGAAAACTGGTCCACAGTGGGAATAACAGAGTTTTACAGGTGAAAAATCTTGTTCTCTAGAAAAATATCTATTCATGTCTTCTGTCCATTTTTAATTAGATTATTCATTTTTTGGGTGTTGAGTATATATTAAATATATAAAAATATATATGTATATATACTTTCTCTCTCTCACTATGTATGTATGTGTGTATACATACATATACATGTATGTGTGTATATATACATATACATGTATGTATGTGTGTATACATACATATACATGTATGTATGTGTGTATGCATATATATAGATATATATATCACATACATACATACACAAGAAACAACAGGTATTGGTGTGGAGAAAGGTGGGGATGTGGAGGAAGGAGAGCCCTCTTGCACTGTTGGTGGGAATGCAAACTAATACAGCCACTCCACAGTATGGAGTGTCCTCAAAAAGTTAAAAATAGAACTGCCCTATGACCCAGCAATTGCAATACTTGGTATTTATCCAAAGGACGAAAATACTAATTCAGAGGGATACATGCACCCCAGTGTTTATAACAGTATTATCTACAATACTCAAATGATAGAAAGAGACCGAATATCCATCAACTGATGAATGGATGAAGAAGATGTATGTATACATACATATGTACATACACACACACACACACACACACACACACACACAATGGAATATTACTTAGCCATCAAAAAGAATGAAACCCTGCCATTTGCAATAATATGGATGGAAGTGAAGGGTATTATGCTAAGGGAAATAAGTCAGAGAAAGACAAATATATGATTTCACTTATTGTGGAATTTAAGAAACAAAACAAACAAGCAAATGTAAAAAATAAGAGACAGAGAGAGGCAAACCAAGAAACAGACTCTTTTTTTTTAGGATTAACTTTAAGTGTCTTTTATTCCAAGAAACAGACTTTTAACTGGAGAGAAAAAACTGATAGTTCTCAGAGGGAAGCTGTGTGGGAGGATGGCTCAAATAGGTGATGGGGATTAAGGAGGGCACTTGTGATGAGTACTGGCTATTGTTTGAAAGTATTGAAATTGAAAGTAGTCTTCTTATAGAATGAGTTTGTCCTCATCTTGTAGAATGAATTTGTGGTTACATTTATTTTTTTTCTGTTTTGGAGTTAGAACTTCATATTGATTTGGCTGAAATTACCCAAACCCTGGCCTTTTTGTCAGGGTAGTTTTCAGCCACCTGTAATTTTTCTTTCTTTTTTTTTTTTTTTTGAGAATAAGTCAAAGTACTTACTGGGTTGAGAACCACAGTGAAGAAAAGTTCACCTCCTTGGATACTCTTGTCCAGCTCTTTAGGGCCTCCTGGATATTCTTTGTAGAAAATTGTGTGAGTAAAAAGCCCACAGGTTTGTCTTGGAAGAACCTGAAGGAAGAATAAACAAGTAAGGAAACAGCTGCTTTCAACCAATTAATTTGTTGAAACGTGGGTTCTTTTTCATGGAAGCTGATGCATAAACTGGTGTCATTATACAACTCTTAACTAAGGCTCAGAAAATCCTTCACACTCTGGGAAAGCAAGGATGACATCAGTACAGAAGAAAAACACAAGAAAGTTGAAGAAATATTTTAAAACTAAGATAGACTTTGAATTATTTTAGCCACTTATCTATTTTAAACCTCCAAGTCAGTACTGCTGCTATGAAGCCTAGTATGTTCCAGCATCTTAAAAAAATAAAAAAGAAGTAAAAATGAGACTTTAAAAATATTGGAATTGTCTGTGTTATCCTGTAATGCACTAGGCAAAAATTTTAAGGATAATACTTTCTTCCAAATTCTACACATGCACTAGAAAATGAAGTTAATTATTAACTTAATGTGATTCTTAAGAAATTATATTTTAAATTAGAACAAATATTTGAGACACAAATCACAGCATCTTCTTTACTCTGAAAGGATTGCTGCAGGCTTTAGAAACTGCCCCAAATTCTAAGTCTGAAGCCTGCCAGTTCTCAAAGTAAAAAAGAGATTATGCTTTTGATTATTAATTTTTATAAACTGTCACAAACAAAATGATAAAAGCTCCCTTAGGAAAAAGCCTTATTTTCATTCTTTAAGCCATTATTTGCTTCAATTATACACATTTGTGATAAGGATATTTTTTTCAAATTCTTACAGCTTTCTTCTAACATAACAGTGCAATTATGAAAGACAGTGTGAGTTAAAGCTGTGCAGGATGGTACAATCTTTAGCTAAATCCTATATAATGACTTCATAATGACCTGTGTTTGTCACTGTATACTTGAAGTAGTAGAAAATTAAGGAATATACTTTGGAGAGCTACAAGCTTACAGAATCTTACACAGATGAGACTTCTGTTTATTGTCCTCAGCAAACTGATCTTTTTTTCCCTGCTTTTTTTCTTGAAGCACATTTGGCTCAGTAAGTGCTTTCAAAATATTATCTTTACAGGACTTTTCATGGTTTGTAACCCTCTACAAATATACTTGTTTTTCTTTAGTTTGTGTATTATAATAAATTTCAATCTAGTCCTTGAAGGTTTTCTTAGAAAACATAATTCTTAGCTCAATCTGTATATCATACATTGTTGTGTAAATTGAAACTTTATATATCCTATTTATTTATTATTTTTTAAATGCTTATTTATTTTTGAGAAAGAGAGAGACACAGCATGAGTGGGGGAGGAGCAGAGAGAGAGGGAGATACAGAATCTGAAACAGGTTCCAGGCTCCGAGCTTTCAGCACAGAGCCTGACGCAGGGCTTGAATTCAGAACTGCGAGATCATGACCTGAGCCGAAGTCGGCGCTCAACTGACTGAACCACCCAGCCACCCCAAATATCCTATTTATTTTTTTGAAAATTGGTGAAATATCCTCAGAAGCCATCCTATCATGATGAAATAGTTAAAAGAACTTCAATTTATTGTGGAGTATTCATTCTGGTGATGTTTATGTTTAAAAATACCACACATTCTCATAATGTTTTGCACAAAATCAATGGCAAAAAAGAACTAAGTGCAAAGATACTCTAACTGAATTAAATATATTCCCTAACAACTCATGAAAATATCTTTTTCCTGGAAATCAAAACTTTATGCAGCATTTATTCATTTTTTAAACAAATATATATTCCAAATTCTATGTAAGTCTATGTGGGAGAACACAAAGATTTATGCTTTCTACCCTTGAAGATTTAAGGTATATCAGGATAAGGAAAAATACTCCAAAGCTAAATAACAAAACGACCACATGTGATTAAACCCTAGGTTAGTTTTACATTTTAAAAGTGCATGATTCTGAATCACTCTTGGATTCAGTTTGAATATCTTGCTTGAGAAACTTTGGAAATATGCACAGCTCTATTTGAGATTTGCCTGCCTCACTGATTCTATTCAAGATGAAGCGAGAAGCAAAAAGAAATGTGAATTTTGCCTATTTCTCAAATTATTTGGGTTTGAACACAGGGAAGAGGAAATGTAAGGCTTTACCCTGCAACTCTGGGAAGGATGACACCTTCTGAGACGATGAGAGCTACCATGAGCTCTAGGATGACCACAAGAGGCTGAAGAGATAATTAGAGTGTGATAGGGTTGTATTCCATTGTATTCCACTACGATCTCAAAGCTATTGGACCCTGAACATGTTCCTTGAATAGCTCTCTTGTGTTAGAGAAGAAATGAGAGAGTGTTTCAGGTATTCTGCTATGGACTGCCGCCTTTTTTTTTTTTTTTAAATGTTTTATTTCTGAGAGAGAGAGAGACAGCATGAGCAGGGGAGGGTCAGAGAGAGAGGGAGATACAGACTCTGAAACAGGCTCCAGGCTCTGAGCTGTCAGCACAGAGCCCGACGCAGGGCTCGAACCCACGAACCGCGAGATCATGACCTGAGCCGAAGTCGGACAGTTAACCGACTGAGCCACCCAGGCGCCTCTGGACTGCCTTCTAAACTGGTTCTGGGAGTGTAGCATTATCAAATTCAAACTTCTGAGACATTGAGGATACCATGGAAACTTTGCTGACAATAACTGGGAGATAGTTAAGAATGTCATAGTCAATAAGAATCTTGAACAATGTGACCTGAAGTCAGTATCCCATACCTAACACTTAAACCTGGAGCAGCTGACAATAAATGCTTCTAGGAGCTACCAGTAAAGACCACCTAAGAGGCTGCCAGCAGAATTCATGGGAATCTCTATCAGTGGGCATCTCCATTAGAAACAGGAAGTTGATAACCAGGATCTATAGTCTAATTGCTTAGAGGTCTCTAGCTTTCTACAGAGAGTTACATTTAGCAACTAGGGTAGAGAGTCCCTATTTTTCATTAATTTCTTACTGAATGAAGATTAAATTTGTCCAGCAGACAATGCACTAAGATTGGAAATTCAGAGACTCTGGCTAGGACACAAACACCTTGAAGTGTAGTAGGCTTTTATGTTCTTAGTGGAATCATAAGATTATGGGAATTCAGAGGAGAGTAGGCCTGAGTTAGATGCTCAGCTGTTATTCATCAAGGTGCTGTACTTTAAATTATATAGGCTATGGACTTGATACTGAGGAATAAAGGGAATAATAATAGTTACAGTGTGTCAGAAAGTCTTTCAAGGTAGAAAAAATGACAAAGATGTAGACACAACAATACTGCTTTAGAACTTTTTGGCTGGAGTGAGTCTGTATTAGCTACAAGAAAATAGAAGATGGGAAGGTAGATTTAGTCTAAATTGTTTTCAGGTACTTGAAGAGCAAGTTAAGGAGTATGGAGACAACTGGAAGTATCAAGGTTAGGAAGGCCAAAATGAATGCAGCATTTTAAAAAGAATGAAAATTCTAAGGTTAGGTTATATATTTGGGAGCTTGCTTCTTGAGATAGCCCTGAATCGCAATGTACTTTCCTCTTAGAACTGCCTTTGTTGCCTCCCATAGGGTTTGAACTGTCATGTTTTCATTTGCTTCCATGTCTTTTTCTTTTTTTAATTTCTTCTTTAATTTCCTGGTTAACCCAAGAATTCTTTAGTAGGGTATTCTTTAGCATCCATGTATTTAGGTGCTTTTCAAATTTTTCTTGTGCTTGATTTCAAGTTTCATTACGTTGTGATCTGAAAATATGCATGGTATGATCTCGATCTTTCTGTACCTGTTGAGGACTGATTTGACCCAATAAGTGATCTATTCTGGAGAATGTACCATGAATCTGAAGAAGAATGTGTATTCTGCTGCTTTAGGATGAGATGTTCTGAATATGTCTTTAAGTCCATCTGGTCTAGTGTGTCATTCAAAGCCATTGTTTTTTTTGTTGATTTTCTGCTTAGATGATCTGTCTATTGCTGTAAATCGGGTGTTGAAGTCTCCTTACTATTATTCTACTTTATCAATGAGTTTCTTTATGTTTTTTATTAACTGTTTATATATTTGGGTATTTCAAGTTGGGGGCATAAATATTTATGAATGTTATATATTCTTGAAGGATAAAGCTCTTAAATATGATATAATGCCCTTCTTCATCTCTTGTTCAGTCTCTGTTTTAAAATCTAGTTTGTCTGGGGACACCCGGATGGCTCAGTTGGTTAAACATTGGACTGCAGCTCAGGTCATGATCTCATGGTTCATGAGTTTGAGCCCCATATTGGGCTCTGTGCCTGGAGCCTGCTTCAAATTCTGTGTCTCCCTCTCTCTCTCTTCCTGCTCACACTCTGTCTCTACCTGAAAAATAAATAAACATTTTAAAAAATCTAGTTTGTCTGATATAGGTATGGCTACTTTGGCTTTCTTTTGACCTCCAATAGCATGGATAGATGGTTTTCCATCCCCTTATTTCAATCTGCAAGTGTCTTTAGGTCTAAAATGAGTCTCTTGTAGGCAGCATATAAATAGATCTTGATTTTTATCCATTCTGCTACCCTATGTCTTTTAGGTGGAACATTTAGCCCATTAACATTCAGAGTGATTCTGAAAGATGAGGTTAGTGCCATTGTGTTAACTGATCTACAGAGCTGGCATTTCTGGTAATCTCTGGTCCTTTGCAGTCCTTGTTGCCTTGGTCTGCTACTAACCTTACACATGAAAAGATGCTCAACCTCACTCATCATCAGGGAAATATAAATCATAGCCACAATGAGACACCACTTCACACCTGTCAGAATGGCTAAAATTAAAACCCAGGAAACAACAGATGTTGGTGAGGATGTGAAGAAAGAGGAACCCTTTTGCACTGCTGGTGGAAATGCAAACTGGTGCAGCCACTCTGGAAAACAGTATGGAGATTTACCAAAAAATAAATGTAGAATTACCCTATAGCCCAGCAAATGCACTACTAGGTACTAATCCAAAGGACATAAAAATGCTGATTTGAAGGGGCACATGTACCTCAATGTTTTCCGCAGTGCTATCAACAATAGCCAAATTATGGAAAGAGTCCAAATGTCCATTGACTGATGAATGGATAAAGAAGATGTGGTGTGTGTGTATATATATATATGCACATATATATACATATATATATATATATATAGTATATATATACTACTTGGTGATGGAAAAGAATGAAATCTTGCCATTTGCAGCAATGTGGATAAAACTAGAAGATATTATGTTAAGTGGAATAAGTTAGAGAAAGACAAATATAATATAATTTCACTCACATGTGGAATTTTCATATATTGAAAATATATTTTCAATCACATGTGGAATTTCACAATATAATTTCACTCACATGTGGAATTTAAGAAACACAACAGATGAACATAGGGGAAGGGAAGGAAAAAATAAAATAAAAACAGAGAGGGAGACAAACTATAAGAGACTCTTAAAGACAGAGAGCAAACTGAAGGTTGCTGGAGGAGTTGTGGGTGGGGTGATGGGCTAAATCGGTGATGGGCATTAAGAAGGGCACTAGCTGGGATGAGCACTGGGTATTATACGTAAGTGATGAATCACTGGGTTCTACTCCTAAAACCAATACCATGCTGTATGTTAACTAACTTGAGTTTAAATAATAATAAAAAAATCATAGAACCTGCACTGACATAATAGAATGCTAAAAAACTGAGAAATTAAACCAGATCACTTGAGGAGAAGTGAAGGAAATAAAATTCACCTGTAGGATGAAATTCCCCAAAGGGGAACAGTTTGTAAGCATTATTTGGAATAGGGAAAGCATTTAATTCTATTGGGCAGAGGGGAGCTAGGTAGACACTGATTCACTGACAATGGGAGAGATCTAATTAAAGAGGATACTTTTAAGATTAAGGGGTTAGGGTCGGTCACTGAGTTTTGTGTTTATAAAAAATCCCATACAAAGAGTCAATTTGTATTCAGTTTCACAGACTGTGTAACACCCACGTGTGTTGGCAGACTGGGACAGCTAGAACAGGGAAGGAAATGACTCCAAGTTATTTAATAAAACTGGTTTTGATCAAAAATAAAAATAAAAGATTGTCACTACCTATGGGCTAGGTTGAAGTGCAAGGGGTGGATAAAAGTTGTAAACAGACAAAGTAGGAATGAACAATGCAGTCTACGCATGAAATCAAGGCGGTGAATTAGGCTGTAGGAAACTCAGGGAAATAAAACCTTATTATAAAGGAATAATTGATGGAATGTCAAAACTGGAAGTTGGAGGGTGCAGTGGCCAGTGTGATGTTCGAAATGCAGAACTGAATTAGGAAGAGCAGAATCAATAATAGCTGGTTTGATGGGAAGATAATGAGTTTCATTTAAGGCCTTTGGAATTTGATTTGTGAATATTTTAAAATAAAGTCCCTCATGTCATAAAACAAAATATGGGTATGATTTTTTGTTTTTTGCAGTCTCTCCCTAGGAGGGAGTATTGGCTTTTTTGGTCTTAACTTGCATCTCTATTTGGATGACTCCAGGCCCTGTCCTCTCTCTTTTACTCCATAATCAACTGCCTGCTGAACATTTCCCACTTGGAAATTCTCATCCTAGAGCCCACAAAGTGAATACAGAGGGTCCCATGGATTGGTACCAAACTGGAGCCATAGGAACAGCTTTGTCAAAACAGGAAATTTTTTACAGCCTTTATTACCTGCAAGATTTGTGCATTTATAATACAGGTAAAATGTTTTCAGGAGAAATAAAAAAATGAACATATCTCATGGGACATAGCCAAGCAAATTTTCTGGCAGTACAGAGAAAAACAGAAACAAAAGAGAACAACATTTAATAACGTCCTTAGAGATGTAAGTTTACTATTCTACTAAGGCTGCATATGATTTAAAATACTCTTGAATACTATTAAACTATAATAGAACCCAAGTTTCCTAAACTCTCTCTGATCAAAAGGCTGACAGCCTGAGGCATAGTGAATTTATTTTTAGTAAAGAAGAAGGGCAGACTGGGATAAAATAGAGCCATTTTGTTCCCATCTAGCATTTACAACAGTTTTTATTGAGGAAAAAGTCAAGATGGCAGCTGACACAGCCAGATTAAATGTCATTATCCATTCTGTAATTTTTGCAGTAGTCACTTACACCTAATTCTAGAAAATAGACATCTGGTCAAACATAGTTTGACAGAGAGTTCCAGTGCCTCACCACACAGTGTTCTTCTGTGTGGTATTCCTTCCCAGTATGTGTCTAAATCAGGAAGCCTATCCCTGACTTCACCAGTACTCTTTGGATTTTCTAATTTGGGGAAAAAGTAGGATTTAATTACTTTGGGAGGCCTCACAAAATATCAGGTAATAACATACCTTGACAGTGTGCATTTGTTACCAGCATAAAAAATAAAAAAACAAAATAGAGAAGCTTTGGAGAGAATCTGACAATGGATGTAAATGACTTAATTAACATCATCTATTACTTTTGTACTCTGTATTATGATCTGTTAGTGATTACGTAGGACTTCACAGATAGCTTCTTGCTGTAAGTAGTTGAATTTTTTGTTTGTTTGGTTTGACATGGTAATGAGAACAGTTTGACTAATACAAGAACTGCATAGTTAATATACAGAGAGGGGCGCCTGGGTGGCTTAGTCGGTTAAGCGTCCGACTTTTGCTTAGGTCATGATCTCGCGGTTCGTGGTTTTGAGCCCCGCGTCGGGCTTTGTGCTGACTGCCAGCTCAGAGCCTGGAGCCTGTTTCAGTCTGTGTCTCTCTCTCTCTCTCTCTCTCTCTCTCTGACCCTCCCCTGCTCACGCTGTCTCTCTCTCTCCTAGAAATAAATAAAACATTAAAAAAAAATAGTAGTAGTGTCAATAACAACAAAACATTTCATACTTAAGAATCGAGAGGAGGTAACTTTTAATTAAAACATCCCCTGCTTGGATATGATAAATATATTTCCTGTGACATGCAGCTTTTCCTATATTTAAGCTCTCAACATTTTGCTTGCCTCTTTTGTTCTTTCTTCAAATGAAGAATGGAAATCTGGAAGAATTAGTTGTACCCTATGCATACCGGAGGAAGCTCACCATGATGTTTTTGTGGATGAAGCCCCTCCGATATCGAGCTGGTTTCAGATGTGGATATTCTTCAGTGCTGGTGATTCTAATATTCCAAACCTTTTTCCAGGCCTCATAAAGCTGAACGTGTACAGGGTAGACACCCGAGTGGTGAGGGGCCACCGCATAGCCCATGTCCGTAGGAATGCCATGCTCCTAAGACCAAGCATACACGAATTAGAATGTGGGAAGATTTATTTTGATCCCGTTTTTACCCCAAGATTTTCAAATGTGGTATAAATACATTTGTTTAAATCCATCATTATTTAATTTTATTGTAACACTTAAGGGGCGCCTGGGTGGCTCAGTCGGTTGAGCGTCCGACTTTCGGCTCAGGTCATGATCCCACGGTTAATGGGATCGAGCCCCGCATCGGGCTCTGTGCTGACTGCCAGCTCAGAGCCTGGAGCCTATTTCAGAGTCTGTGTCTCCCTCTCTCTCTGACCCTCCCCTGCTCACGCTGTCTCTTTCTCTCTCCTAGAAATAAATAAAAATATTTTTAAAAAAAACAAAAAAAAAACTTAACAAACATCAAGACCTCTAGACACCATGAAGCCTAACCATTCCACCAGTCTTGATGTTAACACATTTGTGTTGAAGAGAGGGTGGAACAGGACTAGTGGTTTTAGTGAGTAACTTGAAAGAGTCTGCATTTAGTGCATCTTGTCATAGCCACCTGTTCTTCCTTCTCATAATTTTAATAAGTGAAATGACAAGCACTTGTTACAAACAACACTCAGCACTCCCCACAAAATAAGACCAACCTTTATTAGAGGAATAGAACACATTCCGGGTTTGCTAGATCTGCTAAGAGGATTTTTATTTCGCTTGTTGCCCAGGTTCTACCAAGCTTTCTACACTTCTGGTGGTCCTTCGGCATGTGGGCCAATAATAGACTATGTTCCCTGCCTTGGAAGAAACATGCACTTTCAATGAGAAAATGTGTTAAATCTTATAGAGCAATTTTCTTTGAGGTTGAAGTCCTGGTTATAGTAAAAGTAGAAAGTACTGAAAGAGCCAAATAATCTGGAAATTTAGTTCATTTGAAGTCAAGATTTTGTATATACAATGAGTGCAGTTACAAAAAATAGTTTTAAAATCACACATACACATATATATGCACACACACTACTATCGTCTATTCGGTTGATTCTGGCCAGGTCAGAAAATTCCAAAAATAAATCTATGCGACATCTGGATATATTACAGGGGGTGTGGGGAAACCTTGTATAATGTGATTGTTCTTCTTCATTTGAGATGGTCCATTAATCCTGATACATAGAGGAATCTTTTGTCATGGAGGAAAACTGCACAGGCATAAAAGATGAAATGTGTCTTTTATGAAAAGATCACCCATGGCTTCAGCAGTAGATGTGATTTTTTTTTCTCCTGATAGTTTATTTTTATAGCTGTAATTTCAATTGCTTTATAGTCTTCAAAAGTTCCACCTAAATAGGCTTTGCTTGAATTAGTCATGGCTTTTCTTCACGTTAAAGAAAAATTGCACATACAGAGATACCATCAGTATCAGGCTACTAAATATATTATAGAAATATGCTACAAATGGATATGGAAAAAAAGGCTAGCTGTGTTTGGCTAGGTTGTAGAGCTAGCTTTTTATTCCCCCCTCCCAACTTATATAATAACAGGAGGTGATGAAGTACATGAAGCCCCTGAACATAGAAACAAAACAGGTTGCTAATGGTTTGTAGTTCCTTAAGTATCAGACTCCTCTACACGGCATAAAGGGCCCTCAACTTTTGGTCCCGATACTATCTACATGGCCTTATTTCCTATCAGCAACCATCCTTCCCATGCCCAATATCTGATGATTCCCTTCAAGTCTTTGCTCTGCACTGTACACACTGTTCTCAACTGGAATACCCCTTTCCTCTTATCTTGTAAATTCTGCTTATCACTGAAGACTGAGTTCAGGCAGGTATAGTTGGAGTTATTGAAAAGGGATACCCCCACGTTTATGCCACGAGGAAAAGCATTAGAGGGGAGTGACCCATGCCTGTGTTTTTGAGGGGTGACAGAGAAAGTTTCATGTTCTTCATTTTATTTGCATCTTTGTAGAAATTACCATATTTATGCAACTATTATTTTATCATTTAGAATTTCACTAAAAACTGATTTGAAACATCTCACTGCATTTTTTACTGTTTTTCTTTTTAAAAACTCAAGCCAAAGCAAATTTTTTTCAACTAAAAATAATTTACCAAGGCATACTTTGTGTTACAAAAGGTCAGTGAAGTACTCATCTAAATTGGTGTAAAAAATGGGGTGCAGTGATAACGTACTGAATGAAAGAAAATGAATTTCAATCATAGAAATTTAAAGAAAAAATTAACAGTTACAGGTTAACAGTTTTTAAGAACCAAGGAAAAATGCACAATGATAGGAACAGTACCATTAAATTCAAATGTCCCCAAATTTGTAAGAAATTATATGAATAGAAAGCTCAAGGTGGTTTTAAATGCCCATCAGTGTTTGTCTCTGTCGTCAGGAACACCATGTGAGAAAAGGATGGCCCTGCACAGCAGGGACACTTCCTTTACTTTGGAGTATTCTCCAATATTGGGGGGAAAATTATATATACAACTTTTGTTTTTTATTTCCAGCTTTTAACACTGAAGAAATGCTGAGGCTTTTTAGTCTCATCTTTTATTTGTGTGCTGGTGCAGCTTGTCACGGTGGTAGAAAACACCACTCCTGGAGTCAGACACTTCTGGCCATTTTGGTTTTGCCTTTCCCATTGGTTTGGCCTTTGGCAAGTGATTTATGACCTCTAAGCCTTGTCCTAGTCTTTAAAATGCTAGTCATAGAGTACTTATGTCAAAGGAGTTGAGAGTAAATTAAATAGTATTATACAGGGAAAGCATTCAGTGCATGATACACATTCAATGTTTGTTGTTTATTGTTGTCATTACTCACCTGACTCCATTTTTTTATAAGCTATGATCCTACTATTCAACCATAATGTGCATATTATGAAACCACTGGGGCACCTTTTTATCAATAAAAGAGCTAGGCCCTCTTTCCTATTTTCACCGCAGATTTTGGGATTCTCTCTTGTGAGGATTCTGTGACTTGTATCCTAATATCTCTTCTTGTGCTTACTTCCTTCCTGATCTGTCCAAATGGCCTCAACCAGTGCCATGTGGCTCCAGCCTATAAATTATTGACAGTTAGTTAGAAAATATCTTTTAAAATAGCATTTAGATAAGGACAACATAAATTGGCACCCAAGTTTGCATTCAGTACCAGAAAGAACACTTGAAATGTTATCACACAGAAAAGTTTGGGCTAAAATGTAGGTAGGAAGGCAGGCTATCAGGTTTTAGAAGGTTTGGGTATAATGCTTAATGCTTGACTGAATATTCTCTTCCAAACCTTTTAATGTGAAATTAAGCACTTATTATTTTGTTATATGGGGCCAGAAGCCTAAAATAATAGACATTTTAGCTTAAAAAGTTAATTCTCCTTCTCTGTTAATCCTTGATTAAAAGTAGCATCTTAGTTCTAGGAACTCTGTAATCCACACCAAGATTTTCCTAGTGGACCAAAAAGACTGGGGAATATGGCTATGTCAGTATAAAATGGAAGTTAAATACTTAGAACACAGGTGGGACTAATGAGTCTTACAGCTGAACTCTGCATCTTCACCTCTCATCTCTACCAGATATGCTCTTTCCCTGGGGTTCCTCCATGTCATTAAATGACACTATTGGTCATCATCCAACTAGTGTTCAAATATGTAGAAATACTTATATGTTGTTCTTGACACCTATTTCCTCATTCTTTCCTTAAATCCAGTCCATTATCATATCCTATCAGTACTAGCTCCAGTTTACATCTTAAATCTATCCACTTTTCTCTAATTCTGTCATCACCATTACCCTAGAATAATCTACCATTTTATTCCAGGGGCTTCTAGCACAGGCTCCTAACTCTTCTCTCTTTTCCTCTCTCATGGACTCTAATCTATTTTCTACATAGTAGCCAAAGTAAGACTTAAAAGTCGCAAATATGATCCTGTAATGTCCTTTTCAAAATCTATCTTTGTTTTCCCCTTGACTTATGGTAAAATACAAAATTCTTAGGATAGTTCCAAGCCTTGCATGATATGACACTTTTCTCCCTATCTCATTTTCCACCACCCTCTCCCCCTTCACTGTATTTCCATCATATTTATCTTTTCATGAAATCCATCAAGCATTTTCCTATCTTAGCATCCTCCTATATATGGTTTTCTTAGCCTGGTATAAATGTCCCTACTCCAACTCTTCACCTGGATAAATGACACCTCTTTTTGGTGATTCATCCTGTCATGTCTATAAAGAAGCCTTCACTGACAAGTCCTTACCTAAATTAAGTCCACATTAAGACTTCTCTTTGTAGCCTTCATTTCTTTTTCATAGTACAGTGCATAGTTTGCAAGTGAATATTGTTCTGTGTAATTATTTTGTAATGTCTCTCTTCTTCATGAAACCATAAGCTCCCTAAGTTCTGGGTTTTGTTTTGTCAACTGCTAGATGCCCAGTGTCTTACCAATAGCAAGCACTCAATTAGTATTACTGAGCAAGTTTGTGAACTGATTCTGACCACCTCCTCTCATTTTAACTTTCATTTTCTCAATGATCTCACTTAAACTCTCAGTTTGCCTGCAGAATGGACATATGGTACCTCACTGGGAAATTTAACACTTATATGAGTAATACATGAAAACATTTTTGAGACTGTAGCTAAAAATTTTTATTCAAGTGCAAAATAGACATTTATTTGTTATTATGAACTTATATATTTAAATTACACTGTATAGAATAAAAATTGCAAGATTTTCATAAATTATACATTTAAATACGTCCAAATAGAGAATGTGAAGATAATATATTTTTATCAAGTAAAAATGATCCTATATTCCTTAGAAAAATTCCCCAAAAAACTAAAAGAAGAGAGAAAAAAATTTGTTATTCAGGTTATTTGAGCTGCTCAAGTAATTTTAATACTGAAGAATCATTGTTACAACCTTTGATAATGTTTACTTAAATTCTTGCTAGTATACGAATGGTACTTTACTTTTTAAAAATTTGAGTATAGTTGACACACACTCTTACATTAGTTTCAGGTGTTCAAGGTAGTGATTTGACAAG